AAACAATTATCTCTTCTTATTGACATAACTTCATGAAATAGTAGTTCAATAAAATTTTGAATGCGATTCAACAAACAAAATGACATGACCTTTGAACCGTGACCCATCTGGAAAGGGTTAAAGCTATTATAAACCATATGAACAAAGAAAGGTAAAATGGGTAGCAGCTGTCTAGCTCAGAATAACACTTGTAAAGGAATCATGGATATATAGCCATAATTGAAATTAAATACTTAATTCTGTTTTCTTTTTTGGACCAGTTCTGTGCTTGTGTTTTTTTATACAAGCATGGTTATTTAGTTAACATTTCTGAACTTGAGTGTAAATTTGTTAACAGTCTTTTTTGTTGTTGTTGCTATTCTTTTGATTATAGTTATTGTACATTTTTATTCTTTTTCACTTTCACTGTTAAATGGGAAGTTTATAGCAGTGCTTCCTGTAGTTGTTGTTGAATATTTAACACTGTTTCAGTAATATAAAATAAGTTGGACAGTTTATAAATATTCATATTGTTCCACAGGACCAAAGACTAAATGAACTACAGAAAGAATTCACTGAGCTGAAGAGTGAAAGTGAGAAATCCCAATCTCATATTGAAGAAATGACAAGTACAATACAACAGCTTCGAGATCAGAATGCATTGTTGAAAGCACAGCGAGGTAGAGATTTCCTGACTAGTTTCAAATTATTATTATACATCTATAACTCTGAGCATCATATCAGATTATTATAGTTCATTTTTATTAATAGCTTTGTCCAACCTGGTATTATGTTGTTTTTTTATGAGGACAAATTACATCATATTTTAAAATTCTTAATGATCTTTCCAGTTCAAGTAAATAACATAATGAAACAATAACTGAAATTTTTGTATTTAAAATGTTATTAACATTTGTCTTAGAATAAGTAATAAAAAAAAAATCCATACAACTAACCTTAATTAAGATTTCACTCAGAATTATAATTTTTCGTTTGGGGAGTAGAAATCGTTAAACTACTTCCCTACATCGACAAAATTTGTCAGTATATGAAACAAAGCTGCAAGTATTTGTGTGTTATTTGTAGTTTTGGTTGCATATTTATGTTGAAAAGAATAATATGAATTCTAACACTTTTGTGCATTTTTTTTAACTGCTATTGTTTTACATTATTGGCAGAAAGGATAATATGAATTGTAACACTTTTATGCATAGTTTCTTTTAAAAAAATATAGAATAATAACAGTTTTGTAACAACAGATTTTTAAAAAACATTGTACAAGGTTTTAGTGTTTTACATTCAAAATTTTATCAAACCCAATTTTTTGTTTATCTTATACCAATTAGTATAGCATAAAATCTTAGCTAATAATCCATATTTTAATAGTATATAAGTTTTAAATTCTTAATTTTATAAGGCAATATGTTAAAAAATTCTGAATTTCCCCTAGTGTGACACACACATGACACATTTTCTCTTGGCATCTTTTCTTCTCTATTTTATCCACCACCCCTCCAAAATGTACAAAATTAAACATAAATTACTCACTATAAAATCGTCATTGCTTAGACAAACCATAATTTTTTATAGCTTTAATTTTCTTTTTCTACAGAGCTATCCAATAAAAAATCAGTCCCATCCTGCCACACCCACCTGTCACATCCTATCTTTCAGGATTTGTTAATAGTTCTCTCTTATATTTAATTATATATTACCTATAACCAATAGAGAGTCAAAGTTTTCATCTGTCAAATGACGTATTATATAACATTATGTCCTGAACAGATAAGCATCAATTTCACTCAGAGTACAAACTTAATTTCTGTGGGAAAGTTAACAACTAGCTTGGAGGAATTTGAAGTGGCTCTTGTTGCATAGTTAGAAAGCCAGAAAAATTTTGAGAGTTAAGGGAAATTGGCTATGTATTGCATGTTCCTTGGTGCATTATTTAATTAAATAAAAATGATTCAGTGCATTATTACCATTAGTATAAAAAAGTAGGGATAAATGTCATCGATAGCCAACAGCAAAAAAAAAAAAGAAGATTGGGTAAATACTTCATTTCTTGTTTTTCATGTTTATTCTTTATTTATTGTTACAAAAGTAATTAAAATGTAAAAATAGGGATCTCTTTAGGTTAGTTAAGGTTAGATTAGGTAAAATAAATAATCTTATTATAATGGAGCTTGTGGAGATTGGTTCTCGGAAACTACTGCACCGATCATCACTAACCATAACTGGGTAACATTTTTAAAAGTAGATAGTATTTTTATAGCTGAGCAATAAATAAAACAATTGAAATTTCCACAAAAAGTTGTAACTTTAAGATTTAACCAATAAAAATTACAACCAAAAAGGAGTAAGTTTCAAATATAAAACAATAAAAAAAAACTTAAAATTATTTGTTTTTCTTTCGTGAAATTCTCATGAGTGTTGCAACAGAAAAGCAAGGCACTTTCATTGATAACTGCATCTACACAGAAATACTTCAATAAAATCTACTTTGTAATGTAATGCTGTGATTATAGCTCATTTGTAAACTAAAATTTCAATAAAATACTTTTTCTCATGGATGGTGAACATTATCAAATGTCAAGTATGAGTAAATTGTTGTAGAACTGTCAGACAATATCAGAAAAGGCCACAGGTCCAGTAGGCTTCCGCAGGAAATAGCAGTTATGCCTGCTCGGAGGGTGGGTATTTCTGCTAGTAATAATAATATAATAAAAATATTTCACAAGGCACACACTTGAGCAGCTCGGAGTAGCTCGTGGGTATTGTAATTCAATAGCATAATGTGAGCTGCATTTTCCCAAGTGATTTACAACTTATAATGGAACAATTAGTAGTTAGACATGGTTCAAAGGGCAATAAACCAATAAAATTTAATTATAAATAAATATATACGAGTTTAAATCAATTTGGGATAAATGAATGTTGTTTCATGTTACATTTGAAGTCATTCTAGAAAGAAAAAAGGGTAATTTAGATTTTTTTTTGGTGGTCTGGTCGAATTCACCAACTGTGTATGGAGTTAGTGTAGAGAAAATAACAGATAAAATATAAAGTTTTACAGAAAACAAATATTTGAAATGTATTTAGGAGGTTTTAGAGATTACACAAATGAAATTTGAGATTTTTTGAGATGAAGAAAAGTATTTTTAATCTTAACATGAAAATCACTTTGGACATTGACTATTCAAGACAAATACTCGATATATTCAAGGACAAATCTTTTTTTTTTTCGTTTATTATAAATAATTCACTAAATATATTATTTTTTGGATATGAAAGACTTATAATGTTTACTGAAAGACTACCAAACTTCGGGAAGATGTACACACTAAAAGTTTGTAGTATCAAATCTCTAAAGACTTTGAACGAGTACAAAGAGGTCACATTGTCGGTCAAATTGACCGATCCCATGTTGAGAGAGTTAAAAGTATATATAAATTAGAGAGCAAGATGTGGCTGCTCAAGCCCACAATGTGAAATAATGTTTACTCTAATTGTGAATTTACTCTGTATATCTTTATAAAATTTGGCAAGCTTTTAGTAAATAATACAAGTCTGTTGTTCACAAAAAGTCAGATATTTTAATAAAGTATTTTTACTAAAGCTTTGTATTGAATCTATGAAGCATTTCTTGAATCAGTCTGAGTGAAAGATGATTTTCATGCTAAAAAGAAAAAAACTTTTTTAGTCTTACAGTTTTCATATTTCATTTGCATAACCTGTAGAACCTCCTAAGTGAACATAAAAGTTGTTTTTCAGTAAAACTGTATTTTAGCTCTTATGTTTTGTACCGTAGCAAAATCATTCAGTGTACGGTGGAAAAAAAAAATTTAAGAACATAAAATAAAATTAATAGTACCACTTTTGCCTCTGGAATGGCTGCAGAATTTATATAAAAATTCCAAGTTACTTATCCTAAAAAAAGAAGAATTACAGAAACAGTTATAAAATCTTGAAAAAGATCTTCAAGAACAAAAAGATTCTTATTAAAAATGGGTTTATTTGTTTACTGCATAGTGTTTAGAATTCTGTTGCCATCAATGTCAAAATAGAATTTTAAAATCTTATTGAACAGAATTTGTGTAGGGATAAGAAATTAATTTTTGTTTGTATTTTTAATCTGTTTATAGAGAGGTCATTAGGGATTTTTTTAACATGCTTCTTAAATAAAAGATTTATAATGAGGTGTTATCCCTCACATACTCAAACAGGTAATGTACATAAGTGTTAGGAATATGTTACATTCATGAACTTATTATTTCAGATTATGCTTTCTAGTTGTGAATATCATGGTTAAACATGAAAATAATGTTATGCAAAAATTGAAAGAGCTTTTTTCTCTCCATCACAATTCTAAATATTAGTTGTGAGAGGTCTCTAGTATCTAGTTGCCAACTTAAGTAAGATGCTTTTTTTTTTTTATGCACGATGTATATTATTAGCCAGTATGATAGTTTCTCAGCACTTAAAAGGGAAAAAAAAGGACTTTGTAGTTGTTCAAGGTATCAGAGTACTTCATAAACTTAGTTTCTTGGATAATAAATGATTAATCTGATATTTAATTGTCTTTATTTGTTCAATGTTCAGATTTCAGTTCGGAATGTTTACTGATGATTTTTGCTTAATACATATATTTACTTATAAAACAAAAACATGTTCATTGTTTCTATATTTTGCTACTCATTATCTGTTTACTTAGAAAAGTATGCTTCAATTTATATGGAGTTTTGAGAATCAACTTCACGTTAGCCCAGAAAACTTGGTGATGAGTTTTACTTTAGCAAACTAGACCGACAACACATAGCTAACTCTCATATTTTATTATTATATAAAATGCCAATTTAGGAAAATATCATAGTAGAGAATGAAAATTATTATTGAATTATGAAATAGTTCTAGAAATAAACTGATTTTTTTGTTTTCCAGTGGCCTCCCAATCAACAGAAAGAAGTGGAAGTCCTAGCAGTACTGATATAAATAATCTCCAACATGAGAAAGAAGAATTACAGAAACAGCTAGAAAATCTTGAAAAAAATCTTAAAGAACAAAAAGATTCCTGTGAAAAACTGGTTGGTTTTTTAACTGCATAAAACTTTGAATACTGTTGCTGTAAATGTCAAAGTAAAATTGAAAAAATTTATTGAGCAGAATTGGTGTATGTGACGGAGATTCTTATGAAAATGTAAATAACTGTCTTTGTTATATTTTGCTCTATTATTAAACCATTTAGACATCTCATTTGTAATTTCTGTATTGGATTTTATGGTAATTTAAAATTTTGAAGAATGACTTAAATCCAGTTGAAATTTTTTATTTTGGAAATTCAGTGATAGTTTTTTTTAATACTATGCAGTTTTTGGTATATATATATATATATATATATATATATATGTAGTAAAAGATTTTGATATTAGACTCGGTTCAAACAAAATAAAGCAACAAGTGTGTTTAGTGTCAGTATTTGAATGATAGGTAATAAATAACAAAGAAAAAAAATACACAAGTATTTCAAATTCTCTTTTGCAATTATTGAATAGTTCTTTCATCTAGTGTATTTCTTATTTTCATTTGCCCTCTATCTTTTGTTGATACAGAAGAAAGAACTGGAAGAACAGAAAGAAAAGAAACAGGCAGAAGCTCAAAAACAGGAGCCATTAGTAAATGATTCAGAATTAATAGGAACAATAGAGCAGCAAAGACAAGAGATCACAGAACTTAAGCAGACTATTAGCAGATTAGAAGAAGAAGTTAAGACAAAGAAAGAAATTAGTGAAGAAAAACAGGTCTGTGTAATTTTAATGTTTTAAGAACAATTTTCATTTATAACCACCAATTATTTCAGCATTTTTGAGGATACTACTTTTTCTATATTTTCCACATTAAAGAGTAGCTATTATCATACCATGATTTAGTTGTTTCAAACTCTGCTCATTTTCTATTGTAGGTTTCTGTATTGTAATTAGAGTTAACCATATCCAGAATAGTGAACAAGCTATTTTGTATAAATAGACTTATTTTTATCCTACTCAAGCAACCATATATTGTACAATAAGGAGCTTTATTTTAGTTTATTTGGTCTAACTAGTCATTTTAATAATATAAACTTGGGTTTCATTGAGCAGCTCACAAAGCACCAGCAGTAAAATCTAAAATATATGGTTTAACTTGTTTGTAATACAAAGTGACATTAAAGTTATTTTTGAACTTCTTATTGGCTTAAGCAAATTATATATTTTAGATCATTTGGTAGAGTTATAAGTAGAGTTTGTCAAAAGGAAAAATATCGTTTTGACATTTATACATGACTTAAGAGATAATTTTGAAAGAATCTAAAGTAATGATTAGTTTTAAGTCATGGTTTAATGCCAATAGGCCTAAAATTTATAATAAAAATTGCATTAACTGCAGATTCTTTTCTTCCCCATTCCTCTTAACCCTCTCACTTCAGGTAGGTTAAAGTGTTACATTCAAAGTTTAATTAAAGTAATTTATTATCAGTGTAAATGAACAAACTTGGCCTCAAAATGTAGTTAATAAGTCTAGTTTTAATATAATAATAAGTTTTCATTTCTAAATTTTATTAGTAAATATTTAAATAAATCCTCAATCTCCGCTAGTATGAGAAGCATTACATTTGTTGTTTGGGACTTTCCCTTCTCTAATTTATTTACCATCTTTCTCTAAAGGACATAAGTTATCATAAATTATACTTATTATAATGTAGATATTACTAAGGCAAAGTCTAACTTTTATATACTTCAGTCTTCTTTGTTTGCAGTCATAAACTTGAAAATCAAACCCCCTTGCCATGCCTACTTATTACATTGTCTCTTTCACATATAACCAACAATTTTTTGGTGTTTTATATTAAATCAGTTATAACCAATTGCAAGAGAAGGTTTTAATATGTCAAATGGTTTTAATGCTACATTGTTTTCAGTACAGGATATTGTCAATTTTGTTTTTACTTTGAAAGTTCATCTCTCGGTGTTCAGATCAAGGAGCTAAGCAAATTATTTTAAGCCCCTCTTGTCTTAATTAGAAAATCAGTTAAATCATAACAGTTACAGGACATTGTTTGCTTTGTGCATGTTACACATGGATACATTTCCCATATACCTCAGTCATAAGTACCCCTCTTTTGGTCCCTGGTACCCCATTCTCTGGACCTGGCTGTTGATGCTTTCAGCCAGGATTGGTCCCACAAATTCCTTAATGTTTATCCTCCTATCCGATTACTTCATTGAGTGAACTCTCATACATACCACTCCCTGTCAAGTCTTTCTGATTACTCCTTATTAGCCAGATCAACTGTGGTTTCCATGATTACAACAACTGCAACTTTTTCCCTCCAGTACCTCTTCCTTTGTCTCCCTCCCTTCTTCATCAACCTCAGTCACCAGTTCAACATCCAGCCATTCTTGTCCTTTGTCTTCACGCCTGGCTTTTATTCAGTTGTTGGCGAGGAGATCAGGTTTCTCCCATCGAGTATCTTTCCTTTTAGTTCGTTCCATATGTCCTTCTTCTGTGGAGGTGTATCAGCACAAATGGAAAGTTTTCTGCAGTTGGTCTGTGACTCAGGGATTCCTCGCTGACCAACCTACTGTGGCTCAAGTGACAGAGTTTCTCATATGGCCTTTTGATCAAGGGTCTTTGGTCTCCTCGCTCTCAGGTTATTGGGCTGCCTTATCCCATACCTTTCATTTTTCCCAATTCTGTCTAGTTTTTGCTTCCTCTGTCCTTACCATGTTAATGCATTTCTTCTGGATTCACTCCCCCCCCCCTCTCTCTCTCTCTCCTCGTTATCTCTCTCTCTCTCTCTCTCTCTCTCTCTCTCTCTCTCTCTCTCTACTA